TCCCTCTCTCCCTCCCTCCCTCCCTTCCTCCCTTCCTCCCTCCCCCCCCCTCTCTCTTTCTTTCTACCTAACTTTATTGAGACAGGGACTCACTATGTAGCCCTAGCTGGTCTGGAACTCACTATGCAGATTAGGCTGACCTCAAACTCACAGAGATCTGCCTGCTTCTCCTCCTTACCCCCACCCCAAGAGCTAGGACTAAAGGTGTATGCTACCACACCTGGAAGAAGCTCCATTTTTACCCTTGAGGATTATAACTCCACAAATATTTCTTCCTTCCTAAGAATAACCGAGAAAAAATACCCATGCAGAGTCTACCAGAAGGGCTCAATGGTCTTTAAAAGAAATTAGAAGTAGTAACTAAAATACCGTCAACTTGCAAGAAGTTCCATAGACTTTTCAAGTCTGATTTTCCAACCTGGTAGTTGAAGTTTTCCATAATGGTTTCTAGTTTACTTGTAAAGCCTCGCCCTCCTTAAGAAAGGAAGAGATGCAATAAGAAAAAAATGTAAAATTATGTTTTAACGTTTAAAATTCTCCTTAGCTCTAAGGACTGGGTCGCATAGGAGGGAAGGAAGCAAGGCCATGAATGTTTGAAGGAAGAATAAAAAGATGGCAGGGGACAGACGGAGGGGAAGAAAGGAACATCCCCTATGCATGTCCCAAGGTATGCTGCTAAAATTTGCCGTAGACACCTACAGCAAAGGAAGTGACTAATGTCTGTTAATTGTTCCTCATTTATTCACAGCAGAGGTGTCAGAAACAACCATAATTGTGGTCGCCAGGTTTGAAACCTGTCACAACAGTAAATTATCTCTGGGAATTTAAGCTAAAAGCCAGAAAGGGGGATGAAAAGATTGATAAACTATTGAATATAGCACCATGGGCAAGAATGTGGCCTCAAATAACTGTTTCCACATTCAAGTTGTGAGACACGAGACAAGTGGATCAGTGTAATGCACATGGGGCGTGGCGTTAAGAAAATTGCCACTGCAGCATTTGTGGGACAGAATACTGCCTTGGACCTACCCTCAATGGAAATAAGCTACTGTTACCATTAAGAGATAAGCAGACTTCCCAGAAAGAAACACAAACTTGAAGGCCTGTCTCACTTGACCTTGTATTTGTTACTCACTGTGCGAAGTTTTTAAACCATCAAACAGTCGGTTGCGATACACCTTATTATCATCTGTAACGGAAGACATAACCACGGTCACAGACAAAGCGGTACAGACATCCATAACAGGACCGTGGATGACTACCACCATCGAAACTGTATCCTTATAGGACCTGGCTTATCCAGCCCGCTCTCCACACAGCTTTCTTCAATTTGGCTTTATTAATAAAGTGAAGCATTGGATCTCCTAATGTTCCACTTCGATAGGCTAGTACTGAGGCTAACTCATTCTTTTTGGTCCTGCCTTCTCTCCTGCCCTCATTTTTCTTTCTGCTTTAGGATCATCAGACATTCCAGAAGTAATATCTCAACTCAAAAATTCATGATCAGATCTTGATTCATAAATTAATTCCTTTCCTAAGAAGCTCTCAAATCCAATAGAGACCCTCCGTCAAATAGTCTCCATGAACACAAAGACTTTGGACTTTCATCTTACCATTTGAGAAGTCTTCAATATGTTGGACACAAACAAATGTGGAATGCATGCTCAGTGACTGCCCCTTAGCCCCCATGATATACACACGCAAACTAAGTCCCCTAGGAGCTGAAACGGGATCAGAAATGCTCACAGGTGACAGGCAGGGTCTTTAGCAGCTCCCAGCGTTCCTTTGGTGTGAGTATTATCCCTGTGGTTTTCAAAGCGCCATTTAGTTCACCAACATCCACTTTGTTTCCTTTGGAGAAAAGTAGAAATGAGAGCAACACGTGATTTTTAAACCGTAAGTGTCATCTGCATGCACCGGAAGGACTGAATAGTCAAAAGTCTCAGCTGAGAGTCTGAGAGGACATCAGAAAAAGGGATCAGTTGCTTAATTCTAGACAGAAAAAGAATTTTGTAAGTTCTAATGAAACACCCAAGGCAATGTCATCCTGTTCTGACTCTGTTTTGTGCTTGTTTAGATAGTCCTCAGCCCTCTGTTCTCCTTCCCAATGGTCACAGCTGCCTTGGCAACACATTTGAGATTCCCATGACCTTGACCATTGTCCAGATGTATTAACCAAAATAATTTTTAAAAAACCCTAAAATAACTTGAAAAAATATAAATGAAAAATAGTTGACTTATTATGTCTAAAATAATTACTGTGCTCTTTCAGGAATGAATATTTCAAGGTTCCTCTGACCTTTACATACCTTTGATATAAATTATGGTCTTTGTGGTTTTTGCCGTTAGAAACTGTGCTGCTAAGCTTGGGTACCAATTTACTTTTAGAGGCACAAGCTCACTCTTGGCTGGGCCAGTCCCCCTCACCCACAAAACGGATTTAAAACTTTTCATTGGCTTAATCAGTGTGATTGTCAGTAACTATCTCATGTGGATCATTTCACTAAGAACAACAATAGAAACTAGCATTCTAAAATGGAGTTCAGAGAATGGTATTGTTATGATATAAATGACTATATACATATTTTATAGATAAATAATGTCTATAAATAAAAAAGTGTTCTTTGGTAATTACATATATGAGTATAATGTATTTAGAACGTATCTACCTCCACCTCCAACTTAGATCCCCCCACATGCCCTACCCATCTTCATGTGTGTTTCTTTTTCTTTTTGCTTTTTTATAAAAATAACTCCCTGAGTTGGATTCCTGTTGTCTCTATGCACATGCATGCAGGGCACCATCTACTGGAGCATGAGCAGCCTCCATGGACCACACCACTAAAGAAAGTTGACTCTCCCTCTCAACAATTGGCTAACAACTGCCAACAGCTCTTTAGCTAGGGGCAGGGCTTCATGAGCCCCTCCCTTCTGCATGCTACATATTCCTTTTTTATGATATATGATAATATGACAAGGTGATTTATTACTAAAAAGATCAGTTATAATGCATTATTTCACCAGTGAATGTGGTTACCTAGGTTTATTTTGGCTGTTTGAACAGTGCAACTGATTTGAATTATTAGAAAAAAATCTAGGAAAATTGCTATATGATACTACAACAATAGAAGAGTTTAACAATTTTGTCAAAAAGCATATGACTCAAAACTAATCTGGACTACTGGATAAAATGTTTCTATTTTTCATCACATTTGTTATTTATTTAGTGTGTGTTGGGGACACCCTTGTGGAGGTCAGAGGACAATTTGCAGTAGTCAGTTCTCTCCACTATGTGGGTCTCAGAGAGCAAACTCAAGTCATCAAGCTTGGCACCAAGTGTCTGCTGAGCCATATCACAAAGATCCATAAAAATATTATTAATATATGAATAAAACCAACAAATTATTGTACTAACAAAACCCCTGTGATGGGGCTTGGATATTTAAAAGCATAAACGTAAAATATTGCCATTTAAAATCATTTTTCCTCCATGGCCTTTTACTCACCTGTGAATGACTCTACATTTTCCATCATCTTACTCAGTTTAACCTTTCCATCTGTAAGACAAAACACAAATAAGACCTAGGCACAGTGACTCAGACCCAGAAAACTTAAGGCCTTACAGTGTGAAATAAAACACTGACATTCAAATGTTTGTCCTGATTTGTTCTGTAAATGAATCAGTTTTTATCCCCAGATGAGCATGGAATTAAAAATTGAAGATCTATAAATATGATATATATCTAAATCACACACACACACACACACACACACACACATATCACTGAAGGAGAAATTGCAGAATGTATCAATTCTATACACAATGGTGCTAGGAAATTTAAAAGGCATTGTTTAATCTTTCCAGTTGACTTGTTCTATGTCAGAATTCAAGAGCAATCTGTTTGGCCACCTGAGTATTTCAGATTTGAAAAGTAGTGTTGTGGCATTGTTATGTAGCCCAGACTGACTTGGAACTCTCTAAACAGGTACTCTAGGGTACCCCGGAAACTAACTCCCTGCCTGTGCTTCCCACTGCTGTATATGCGGCCATTACTGAACCCTCTTTTTATGCTTCCAACTCCAAGGTCTCCAACATTTGTCTTATTTAAATTATATGCTGACTTGTTGAAAATCTTATTTCTAGGTCACATTGTCCCTTGAAGCTACCATTCACTCATAATCTCTACAACTCTGTATGTTTTCTAAGAAGCAATATTATTTGGTGGAGAAGTTAAATCCTTGAAGCTATGTGGATCTGTTCAGATTCTATTTATCAACTTCTGTAATGTAGCCTCAGTTTCCACATCAGAGAAATTAAGATAATTAATTAATAAATAATAACCTACCTCACAGGGTTGCTTTGGGACTATTGATAACATAGATCTGGTGCCACATAAGTAGTAGGCAGTTAATATTTGATAAGTATGAGTTGTGGTTACATCACCGAGATTGTTAGTTTATCTGGCCAGGCGTGCAACAGAATTGAAACAGTAAAAGGGAATTTGCTATTTAATTAGTACATAATTCTGAGTTCTTGTTAACTAAATCTTCTTCATATAACCTTGTACAAATAGTCAGTGGGTAAGTCAGATCTCACTTACTATAAAGATTTCCAGTGAAGGACAAAGGCAGGCTACCCAGGAGCCCCTGCGTGATTTGGATGAAGATAGAGATAAAGGTGTTCTGATGGTTTGAATGTGTGTTGGAGACAATCACTGCTAACAGTGTTGAGAGGTGAGACCTTAAGAGGTGACTAGGTCGTGTGGGCAGGGTCCTGATGAACTGGTCTCACTGCATGGGTGGATTGTACTAGTGAGAAGTGTTTTGTTATGGAGATGAGTTACACCCGCCCCACTAGCAGCCCCTCCTGGTTGGCTGCACTTGCTTGCTCTTGCCTGCTCTGTCTGTTTCTCTCACACAGGCACATGCCTTTTACCTCTCTGCCTTCTGCCATGGGTGACGTAGCAGGAAGCTCCTACCATGTTAATTCCTTGATAGTGGACTTCCCAGCCTCTATGACTATGAGAAATTAACTTCTGTCCATCATAATTTACCTAGTCTCGTGTATTCTATTATAACAGCACAAAACTAAGTAAGTCGATGTAATAAAATTTCATGGTACAGTGAGAATTGTAGAAGACTGGCTTCTAAATAGATACATTATTCATAATTTTAACTCCAAACAATACACAATGTATTGTAATATCTATGGAAGTTGCCACGCTGCTTTCAGACAGAAGGTTATATAGCTTCTCTATTCTCCCCACAGGATTATAGAAGTTGCCCTAATTATTTATACAGCCAAATAATATACTTTTTTTTTCTCCCAAGACAGGGTTTCTTTGTATAGTCCTGGCTGTCCTGGAACTCCCTCTGTAGACCAGGCCTGACGCTGCCTCCTGAGTGCTAGGATTAAAGGCATGCACTACCACCACCCAGTCCAAATAATATACTTTAAAAAGTTAAGTCTATATTATCACCCCTAGCTGAGAGCTGAGGATAATGCAATTAAGAAGTATTTCCCACCTGAGTCAGCTAAGTAGCACACATTCCTGTGTTCCTTGGGTGCAATGCTTTCCCTTCTCAGGGAGGGGTGTGTCCTACCCTATCCTGGTCCTTTGGGCATGTGATTCAGTGAGCCCGATTGACTTTCTGACTCAGAATCCTGAAAAGTGTGGACAGGTGACACATCCAGCTGCATCCCCTGATAACACTATTAATTAGCTCTGTGGTCATGTGATCGTTTTGATGCAGCCTTGGCTTTGCTCTTCCCAACCCTGGGTTTTCAAATTTCTGATTCTATGAATCACTCTATGACCTTCCACAGTTTTCTTTTGTGCTTAAGCTAGCCAGACGTAGCTTCTTTTGTCCAGATCCTGAGGATATGATTTTACTATTGAGAAAAAATTCTGGCTGGGTGTGGTGATGCATGTCTTTGATTCTAACACTCTGGAGGCAGAGGCAGTCAGGTCTCTGTGAGTTAGAAGCCAACCTGGTTTACAGACTGACCAGGGCTATATAATAAGACTCCATCTCTAAAAAAATAAAGTAAAAACAACAACCCCCCTCAGAAAAACAAGACCCCTCAAAACACACACACACACACACACACACACACACACACACACACACACACACACAGAGTTTTTTTTTCTCTAGTTGAGGTTTTTAGACTAAGCTGGAGAAGTGTCACTTTCCTTAGTGTTGAGGCTGGCTAGAGGTTATGGCTATGGCTTCCGGTTGCCTTAACTAACCAACCATCTGTCTGCATAGAGTAGGAGTCATACACAGGGGACTGTTGGCTCCAGATTTACTTGAAGTGGCTCTAAGTGCTGACAACTCACCTCCCTTCTTATCAGGTCTGAATGACAAGACTGTGATTTAAAATTAAAGGAAGGCTATTTCTTGGAGGCAGACTCAGTCTAGGATTTGGCACCTTAGGAAGCAGTACAACTTTGTCTCAATTGCTATGATAACAGCATTATGTAGTTTCAGCATAAGTATATGAAAAAAAACCCCAACCTCCTACAAACAAACCAACCTGGGGCATTGCTTAACCATAAGGAAATGCAAATCAAAATCACAAGGAGACATCACCTAACTGGAGGCAGGGCAGCCATTTCTAGAGAGACAGTAAAGAGCCAATGTTAAGGGTAGAGAAAAAGAGCAACTCTTTTTTTTTTTTTTTTTTTTTTGAGACAGAGTTTCTCTGTGTAGCTTTGATGCTGTCCTGGATCTCGCTCTGTAGACCAGGCTGGCCTTGAGCTCACAGAGATCCTCCTGGCTCTGCCTCACGAATGCTGAGATTAAAGGCATGTGCCACTGCTGCCCCGGGGGGGGGGGGGGGGAGATCAACTCTTAAACAATGGTGGTGGGAGTAATATCAGCCATTGTGGAAAACAACATGGAAACTCTTCAAAAACAAAAATAGGATTACTGCCTGACCAACAATTCCACAACTTGGTAGATCAAAGGAAGGCACTGTGTGTATTGAAGAGAGGTCTGTGAGCTCATGTTCACACAACACTGTTCCCAATAGCTGGGATACAGTCATTGTGAGAGTTCCCTGATGAACTGGAGGACTTTATATGAGCTGAGACAAGAGAGGCAAAGACAGACACTGTTCTCTCTCATTGTCAACTATGAAAACGTTGACCTCCAGAAGCTGGAAGCAGGGTACTGGTCAGAGGATGCACAATCATAGACGTCCACTGCTCTGCAAGGGACAAAGCTGACAGCGACAGTCTGCTGAATTCTTTAAAGGTATAAATACACATGCCGTTTGCTATCACCAGAAAAATGATAACTGTGTGGGGTGAGGCCTTCATTAATTAGCTAGATCTAACCATTCAATAAGTAAGCTTTAAAACACTACGTTACACAATATATATACACAAAACTATCAATTAAGAAAATCTACAATGGTTGGTTAGGTATGTTTCCTTTCCTGAGCTTCCTGGTGATTTGATGGACTTATTATTATTATTATTATTATTATTATTATTATTATTGAGGCCAGAAAAGGGAATCAGATCCCTTGGAGCTGGAGTACTTAGGCAATTGTGAGCTTTCCAACATGGGTATTGGGGATGGAACTTAGATCCTCTGGAAAAGCAATGGGCTCTCTTAAGCACTGATTCTTAGCTCCTGTCACTTTTTTCCTTGTTGAAATGCTCCTTCATTTTATTTCTCTGGCTTCTTGGGTCTTTAGGTGTTCTCAGTGGTGTTAGGGTTTAGCTTTGCAAGTGGAACTCCTTGCTTAACAGACAAGTCACCTCTGGCTGAAGCATTACAGTCTGGGATAACAGCTTCTCCCATGAGTATATTTGGAAGTTTATTGGAAGAGCTGAGAGTGTCTCCGAAGACACCATGACATGCTCACCTTCAATGGGCAGATGGCTCTGCAGGTCTTCAATTTCCTCGTCCTCCAGCTCATAGCCCATGTCTTCTAGGATGGCATCCATTTTGGAGGCATGACACTTGCCCCCTGAGGAAAGAAGAAGGTCACAAATGAAGGAGCTGGAGCCTAAGTTACCACAGATGGAAGCAACCCAGAGCATGGTAAAATCAGACAACTCTTAGGGCTGCAGAGACACGGTGGAAGCTAAGAACACAATGTATTTTGCCAATCCTGCTTCAGGGATGTTTTCTACAGTTTGCAGGAAGGTTGTATTTAGAAGTTAATTATTTATCAGAAGAGTTATGTAAATTTTTATTTATACATTGATTGCATGTACTGATTCTATATACTATAAATTGTATCTTTCAGATGAAGTATGAATTATATCAGACAACTAGCACTCTTGATTTGCAAACAGAATTTGAAGGATTTGCATTGCCAATTATAACAGAAAATTATAAACTGCATTAGTTATAGCTGCATCTAAAAGATCTACAAACTTAGAGAAAATAAATCACCTGATTATTATATAATGATGACATGATTTTTGTTAAGTCAAGGTAAAGCACAGATAATAGTTTGAATTGCTTTATTGTGATTATCACTTACCAGGAAACCACTTTATATGATCAAGTAATATGTTTTTAGGTATCTTCCCATCATCTGTAAAATATGAAACATTTAAAATTAGAGAAAAATTACATATACTGTAAAAAAGGTATAGAAGGATATAACTTTAAGTGCATATTATAAGAATTTACCTTTGAAATTTATACTTCTTTATTTATTATGTATGCAGTGTTTGCCTGCATGTTCTGCCTGCATGCCAGAAGAGGGCACCAGATCTCATTATAGACAGTTGTGAGCCACCATGTGGTTACTAGGAATTGAACCCAAAACCTCTGGAAGAGTAACCAGTGCTCTTAACCTCTGAGCCATCCCTCTAGCCCTTAAATTTATATTTCTATAGTTCTCACATCTACACACGTCTTTATAAAGAAGTGCAAAGTAAGAAATTTTTTTCTTTCCTTTTCTTTTCTCTTCTGTTCCTCCTCCTCCTTCTTTTGTGACTTTCACCTCTCACCTTCTTTGGAGCTGGGGACTGAACCCAGGGCTTTCCATGTATCTAAGTCCCCAAGGTCCCCCTTTATCCTCCTCTTTTTTTCCCCAGGGCTTTGTGCACCTAATCAAGTGCCCTACCGCTGAGCCTTCCCCCAGCCCTGGACAGAGTTCTGAATGTGTGGCTGACAGATGTCTTTCCTCATGCCGAGCTTGCTTTCCCTTTCTTCTTGCTGTTACCATTAGTTCATCATGTTTTGTCCTCTTTATTTAAACTTTGCTTATCTATCTATCTATCTATCTATCTATCTATCTATCTATCTATCTATCTACTATCTATCTGTGTGTAGGCTGGAGTACAATATTGGATGTCAGTACTTATCAGCCATCTTGTTTGAGACAGGGTCTGTCTTATTTGCTCTTGCACTGTGTATTCCAGGCTAGCTGGTCTGGAAACTTTTGGGGACTCTGTCTCTGCCTCCCATCTCACTGTGGTAGGTAGGCCAGGATTGTAGACCTGAGCAATGCAACTTTTATATGTGTTCCAGGGATGTGAGCTCAGATCAGTAGTCTTACACAAGTGCTTTTACCTACTGAGCCATCTCCACAGCCAGGAACAACACTTTTAATACCAAGATTAAGTTTAAAGATGTTGGTGGGGTGTGGGGGCAGATACTATCAAAACAAATTTAAATGCTAGACACAACATTGTTCCAATTACAATTTTTTTTTTTTTGAGACAGGGTTTCTCTGTGTAGCTTTGGACTCTGTCCTGGAATTCACTTTGTAGATCAGGCTGGCCTCGAACTCACAGAGATCTGCTTGCCTCTGCCTCCCGAGTGCCGGGACTAAAGGCATATGCCACCACCACCCGACCCAATTACAATTTGTTCTCTTTGTGTTTTAGGTGTTGCAGGGCAGGAGAGGCGTCAGTTTTTAGGATGTTCTCACACTGAAGTTTATACAAGCACAGAGATGCATTCCAGTCAACAGAGTACCTACCAGCAACAGGCAGCCTTTTCAGTAGCTCATTGACTTCCTTGTTCGTGAGCTCTATGCCCATGTTCTCCAGCACTCTTTGTGCGAGTTTGGCATCAATTTTTCCTCCTTTGGAAAAAAAATGGCAATAGCAAAAGTGAGAATTGCTTGCTGACTTTAGATGATAAAAGTAAGTTGGTACAGGACTCATGGAAACGTGTTCAAATTTGAAGAAACTATGGGTTTGCAATGCTCTAAATAGCCTCAGAGGTGTTAATCCTGCTTACAACAAAGAGATGCACAGGAAGCCCCTTCATGGCTGTACCTAATCTCAGGTGTACCAACATTAGCTCAGATCTGTACTGCCCTCTGTTTTGGCTGGATGATGAGATGGGTCACCTCACAAGCCACATCACTGGCATACTGTTACAGTTGTCCTAATGTTTCCTGAGTGAGAGTAGTTGCCGTTTTGAAGCATGATGACGTTTGTTAGCTGTGTTACCTTGGTGACACAAAGCATAAACTAACGGAGGTTTCAGAATAAATGTAGAACTCATTATTGACACAGATCATCACAAAATTTTGCTAAAGGTTAAATAAACAGATGTAATCTTTATGCAGGTTAAAAAATGTAAAGCCAGTGATGAGATCAGAACACACCCAGCATTGTGTAAAGCTTCTTTTATCCAGCTCTGCTGGTATGAAACGCTTCCTTCTGTAGGACAAATTAGCCTTGAACCTCTGCAGTGTTCCTGAATGCTGAATTACTGTGATGAACTCTATCTAGCCCTGGCTGGCTTGGTTCTCACTAAGTCTCCAGACTGGCCTTGAACTTGCAGCAATTCTTCTGCCTTAGCAACCTGAGTGCTGAAATATGGAGCGTGCACTGCAGTCCAGCTAAGAAAACTCATTTTCAAAAATGTATGTAGATGTGAAGCTTTTGTGTAACAGTCTTGTCTTTTGCAAAAGGCCTTGCTTACCTGTGAATTTTCGTACTTCTTTCATTAGTTTCTGCAGATCAATCTTCCCAGAGGCTGTAAAAAGGCGACAGTCACACATACATGAATAACTGTGCGCCGACTCAGAGGTAAAGGGGATGTTAAGTAGGACTTTTTGCTGATTTGTTTTGAATTATAGCATACATACACAAACATGAAATAAGGAAAATTACTCTTGAAATATGTTGACTATTAATCTCATTATCTACTCTCTATTTTTCTTTTTCAAGGTCTCAGCCTTGGTCTGGAAAGACTATTCAGTAGACAAGGACACTTGCTGCCAAGCCTGATGACCTGAGTTCAATTCCTGGGACCCACATGGTGGAAGGAAAGAACTGATTCCAGAAAGTTGCCCCCTAACCTCCACACTCACCATGGCACATATTGCCCACTACACACACACACACACACACACACACACACACACACACACTCCTAAAAGAAAAAGAAAAGAAGATCTTAAGCTTTGCATAGCATGTACATCCCTCTCTTCAGGCTTGTTCTTTTTAGTTTATACTGTCTACTAGCGGGTCCTCAAGTCAGTATAACTTGTTGGAATTGAAGAAGTAGTATATTTAATTTTTCACTAAAAATACTATGTGTATAGGTGTTTTGCCTGTATGTATGTTTGTGCACTATCTGTGTGCAGGACCTGAAAAGACCAGAAGAAGGCATCAGATCCCCTGGAACTGGAGTTACAGATGGTTGTGAGGAACGATGTGGGTGCTGGGAGTCAAAGCCAGCTGCTCTGTAAGAGCAGTCAGTGCTCTTAACTGCTGAGCCATCGCCCCAGGCCAAAGATGTAGGACATTTTAGGACAAAAAGAAAACTGGAAACTATGCTCATTATTGGTATTTCTTACAATAAAGGAAATGCCACTAGTATGTAATTCCATTCTCCCTTAGGAGGCTATTTCTATTACAAATACTCCTTACAGTCAAGATGGCAGATGGGTGCTTTGAGAATTCTTACCACTTGCAGAATGTATATATTTAAGACTTGTATGGATCATAGGAAGAAAACATATGGACAAAAATGAAGAGAAATCAAGGCCAAAGAAGATAGTTTGTCTTTCTTTAATCAAAGTTATGGAAGAAATGAAAAAAAAAAACCCTACAGAATAAGGACAAGATTATAAGTAAAATATCTGGTAGTTTTCTACATCTGATAAAGGATTTCAATTATATTCAAAAGCCCAATGAATCCTAAGGCAGATACATGAAAATCAATCCATTTCAAATTTCCACATCACAGCGAAGCTTCAGAACTAAAGGTAAATGTCCTAAAAGCAACAACAGCAGAACAATTACTCTCCAAGAATAAGTAAGATTTACAGTTGACTTCCCATCAACATTAGAAAACATGATTGTAGGGTGATACTTTAAGTGTATGAAAGAAAATGACTAACGAGAATTCTATGCTCAGAAAACATATCTATCAGGAACTATAGCAAACTCGTGTGTGTGTGTGTGTGTGTGTGTGTGTGTGTGTGTGTGTGTGTGTGTGTTACTCAGACAGGCTCTTGATACAAACCTTAGGGTAATCTCAAACTTGCAATCTTCCTGCCTCAGCCTCTTGAGTGGTATAAGCATATAAGCATGTATCACATGTTAAACTGACTAAATAGATAATTTTATAGCAGAAAAAGAGTATTTGTCAATGATATTTACTTTTGGCAGAAGAAAAATCATCCTAAAGGCAAAGTTGGAGATGCAAGAAAGAATAAAAAGCTAAGAATGTGTGCACACTTGAGTAACTCCGAATGAACATTGGTGTTATAAAAATATTACACTACTAGGTCAATGTTGATTGTCAACTTGATGGGATGTAAAATCACCATGGAAACAAAATCTCTAGGCACGTCTGTGAGGGCTTATCCAGAGTAGGTTGAGGTGGGAGGATCCACCCTAATTGTGGTGGCATCCTTCCTTTGCCTGGGGTCCTGGACTGGATTAGGAGGAAGTTGAACACAGGCATTCACTGCTCTCTACCTCCTGACAGTGATGTGAACTCCTGCTCCTGCCGCCACACACACCATCCCTGCAGCCACACACACCATCCCTGCCGCCACACACACCATCCCTGC